GCAAGTGAAATGTCTTTGTGCTCCATGAACCACTCTAGCAAATTAACTAAACCCAAGAAGGAGTCTTTGGAACTTCCAATCTATAGCCAGTAGGTGAGAAGCACAGGTGACAACCTGGACTTTCAATTGGCATCTAAAAGGGGGTGGGGGGGGCAGGGAGCATTCTATAGGACTGAGCCCTTAACCTGTGGAACCCAACATCTCCAGGGAGATGGTTTCAGAATTGAATTGTAGGACACTCAGCTGGTGTCTGAGAATTACTTGATGTGTGTGTGTGTTGGGGGGGGGGAACAGACGTAGAGTCAGAATTATTAATAGATACTTATTACTCATCACTTCCTGGGGTGCCTCGCTGGTTCAGTTGGTAGAGCATATGATTCTTGATCTTGGGGTTGTGAGTTCAAGCCCCATGTTGGGTAGAGGGATTTCTTAAAAGAGTAAAATAAAATCTTAAAAAACACCCTCATCTCTTCCTAGTCAGAATTTTACCACAGTTTACTATTATCGATGCTCTTGAGTTTATTTACACCTATTGTGCCTGTGTGGTATGGTAAAATATTATAATTGCATATGCAGGTATAAGAATTCCAGTTGCTCTAATATCCTCACCAGCACTTTGTATTGTCAGCAGGATTTGTTTATTTAGCTATTCTAGTAAATGTGTAGTAGTATCTCATTGTGGTTTTAATTTTCACTTCCCTAATGACTAATGATGTTGACCATTTTTTTTTTTTTTAAAGATTTTATTTATTTATTTTGACAGTGAGAGACAGCGAGAGAGGGAACACAAGCAGGGGGGGTGGGAGAGGGAGAAGCAGGCTTCCCGCAGAGCAGGGAGCCAGATGTGGGGCTCGATCCCAGGACTCTGGGATCATGACCTGAGCCGAAGGCAGACGCTTAACTGACTGAGCCACCCAGGTGCCCAATGTTGACCATCTTTTTATGTGCTTATTTGCCAAGAGTGATGTATTCAAAACTCAAGTCTAATTATGTCTCTCCTTTTTGGAACCCAATGGCTTCCCAGGGTAAAAGAGGGCTTTGGCTGCCTCCATTTTGACCTCAAACTTTCTAGTTGGGTTCTTCATTCCAGCTTGTCTCTTGGCTCGTGCAGAAGACCTTGAGGGCAAAGCATCCCTTGATGGAAACCAAACTATCCCCTCAAGCAATAAGGACTGTACTGAGCCAGCAAAACCCCACTGATGATTGCCTGCAAGACAATGATCCATTTGACCTTCTCCGCCCACCTGCACGTACCCACCTACCTTTGCCCTGCATTTTCCTTACATGAACGTGGAAGTATCAGCACTTTGGAGACAGTCTTTGAGACGCTAATCCACTGTCTTCCCCACTGTTGGCCACCCTGAAATAAACTCCTTTCTTGTTTCACCACCACTTGTTTCTCTGCCTTTGGATTTTGTCAGCAAAGACTGGCTGAACGTGGTCTGTCTCTGAGCTCCCCAGGCATCGGTTGGCCAGGACAAATTTTCCCCAAGCCCTGATCCCCTTGCTTCCAAAGCTTCAGGATCAGAGAGAGACAAGCTAGGATAGAAGAGAAAACAGCAATGGCTACCAATCAGCTGTACTGAGATTTGGCATACAGAGGAAGTCTATTGGAGGATTCAGTTATCTTTCGCTATCTCTTTTTAGAGAGGAGCCCTTGTGATGTCTGTCACTTGTTTCCTAAAGACAAACAGAAGCAGCTGATCCTGCTGGAGGGCAATCTCTGAGCAAAATCATCCATCTCAGCTGCCCCTCTTCCGGGTTCTGGGCTCCTCCCTCTGTGCCTCCAATTCTTCCAACAGTAGGATAACCAAGTCTAAATCCTATGGCCATTGGTACAACAACAACCCTGAAAACCACCTATTGACTCTCTAGGAAGAGAGAGCTACAGAATGGTTAGCGGTATGGTTTTGAAGATAGACTTAAATTCAATCTCAGCTCTGCCCTTTATTAGCTGTGTGACCTTGGCCAAGTTACTTAACCAAGCTGAAGGTGTCATTTCTGTCTAAGAAAGAAGGCTTTTATGGAATTAGAGATTATATCTTTAGCACACTGTTAGCACTTAACAAATGCTAAATAAATGGTAGATGTTTATCTGACTTCTATTAATACGCAGACACAGTAGCAAAGCTTTTCAAGTTTTTTTCTTGGGGGAAAGTTGCTACTATAAGTATGAAATTTCTTTTGATATTTATTAATTTATTTATTTACTAACAGTTTATTTTAAGTAACCTCTACACCCAATGTGGGAAATTTAAAGCTAAAACAAGAAATTTCAGGGGTGTCTGGCAGGCTCAGTCCAGTAGAGCATGTGACTCTTGATCTCAAGATCATGAGTTTAAGCCTTACCACGTTGGGCATAGAGTTACTTAAACAAACAAAAAAATGGCGGGGGGGGGCACCTGGGTGGCTCAGTCGTTGAGCATCTGCCTTCAGCTCAGGTCGTGATCCCAGGATGTTGGGATCGAGCCTCACATCAGGCTCCCTGCTCAGCCGGAAGCCTGCTTCTCCCTCTCCCACTCCCCCTGCTTGTGTTCCCTCTCACACTGTGTCTCTCTCTGTCAAATAAATAAATAAAATCTTAAAAAAAAAAAAATTTTTTTTTAATCTAGGTCCAATAGGCATGGCAATTCCGAAGTGTGGCATGCACTCACTCTTTGTGCCCAAACTCTGACTCACCTTCATTCTGATCTCTCCTGAACCTGTAGAAACAGGATTGCTTCACCTTCCTCAACAGCCTATGTTACCACTCCAGCAGCCCTCTACTGTACAGGGGGTAATCTCTCTAGTCCTTTGGTTTTAAATATACCATCTATATGCTGATGATATTCCCAACTTGTATCTCCAACCCCGACATTCCCCTTGATCTTCAGGTTCACAAGTCTAACTGGCTAAGAGGAAGCTCTACTTAAAGGGTCAGAAGCAGAACTCTCGATTTCCCATTGCCCCCCTCTAGGAAAATGGTTCTATCAGCCACACCACTGCTCATGCAAAAATTTTGGCCACCTTTGACTCTTTTTTTTCTCTTGTCCCTATTTCCTACCCTCGTTTTAGCAAAATCCTGTTGACCCAGCATTTCTCTCCAGCTACATCCACCACTACCTCTGTCAAGGCACCATCATCTCCTATGGGACCATACCCACACCCTCCTCCCTGCTCCCACTTTGATCCCCTATAGTCCCTTCTCCGCTGAGTAGGCAGGATAAGCCTCTAAGAACTAGAATCATATCAGAACATTCCTCTGCTTAAAACCCATCAATGGCTTCTCATTACACTAAGAATAAAATACAAAGACCTCACCATAGCCAATGAAATTCCATGAACTCATACCTGTGTGAGGCATTGTCTTCACATAAGCAAGACAACATCTCATAGTAGCTTGAAAAAAGCAGATGTGAGAATCCATCTGTCTTCTACTAAGCCAGACATTAACGGAATTTGGGAAAATATAAAACAATGCCACTAATCATCACATTTTTTTGGTTTTGAAAATATAGTTATTTTTCAAAAAATGAAATGTTGCTTAAATTAATTTTAATTTCTATGCAATACTGTGTGGCTTGGAAGATATCTTGAAAAGATGGGATCTCAAGCTGAGGCCAGTATGGCCCACATGGCTCAAATACAAGGATGAAAGGTTGATGAATGTCCCTAATTCTGGTTAGGTCTCATTGGAGGGCTTGGCTGCAGAACAAAGTGAAGATACTTAGTATTGTGGGTGATGGGGCGAGTAGGGGTGAAGGGCACTGAGTTACCCCTATGATAATCTTGTCAACACATTGCCCTGGTCAGGGAAGAGGCAGGTATCACTGACTCCCAACTAATACCCCTTCTTCTGCTGGTTGCCTAGGTACCCTCAAAAGATTTATTCAGGGGGTGGCTGGGTGGCTCAGTCGTTGGGTGTCTGCCTTCAGCTCAGGTCATGATCCCAGGGTCCTGGGATTGAGCCCCACGTCGGGCTCCCTGCTCGGCAGGAAGTCTGCTTCTCCCTCTCCCACTCCCCCTACTTGTGTTCCTGCTCTCGCTATCTCTCTGTCAAATAAATAAATAAAATCTTAAAAAACAAAAACAAAAAAACTACTATCTTTCCAAAAAAGAAATACTATCTTTAAAAAAAAAAAGATTTGGGCGCCTGGGTGGCTCAGTTGGTTAAGCGACTGCCTTCGGCTCAGGTCATGATCCTGGAGTCCCGGGATCGAGTCCCACATCGGGCTCCCTGCTCAGCAGGGAGTCTGCTTCTCCCTCTGACCCTCTTCCCTCTCGTGCTCTCTATCTCTCATTCTCTCTCTCTCAAATAAATAAAATCTTAAAAAAAATAAAAATAAAATAAAAAAATAAAAAGAAAAGATTTATTCAGAAGTAACCACACTCAAAAAACAAACAAACAAAAACCCAAAAAACAAAACAAAAAAACATGCTACCATGCTCTTGGGGCTCAGTCGGTGGAGCGTATGACTCTTGATCTCTGGGTCGTGAGTTCAGGCCCCATGTTGGGCATCGAGCCTACTTAAAAAAAAGAAGAAGTAACCATGCTCTTTATTCTCCTGTTCTCCTGTGCTGGTAAATTTTAGGGCCTTGTGCCCACTCCCTCCCTTCCTTCCTTCCTTCCATCAGCACCTCCCAGGCCGCTCCAGACACAGTAAAGGGCACTCAAATCTCTTCATTGTAAAATTGACTACAGGGATCAGGCTAAGGACGGTATGATCAGGTATAAGGACACCACCATTTCTGAGCCAGGAGTCTGGAGCGATCAGACTGGGGTAGTGAAGCAAAAGGGCATCTTGACTTTTTTGAGGGAGGAAGGGACCTTCAAGAGACACCTGCAGTTCAGAGCGGCATAGCTATTGCCCACCGTTATATTGGAGCCGGATCAGGAGCCGGGCCGCCTGGGCACCACACCCACCAGTTTGTGGGTTCTCCCTTCCCCAGTCGCCCTGAGCACAACACCCGGCAGGGTGTCGGGCCTCGCGCCCCGCCCAGAGGACTTCGTGCTCCTCTCCATGGAGCTGGTGCCCGCCCTCCGACCGCCGCAGGTAGTTGGAGAAGCTCAGCCAATCAAGAGGTCTCTGGGGCAAAGAAGGCGGGACGAGGAGGAAAAGTTTAGGACAGGAGCGCCAACCAATCCTGCGCCTAGCTGCCGGAGCAACCGCCACCAGCACCCACTTGCAGACGCCGCTCAGAGCGTGGGGGATGGTTCCTGGACAGTGAGCCAATCCGTGCCCAGGGGAGGCCAATTTGAGCCAATTAAAACTGAGAAGGTGGGAAGGGGCGGAGTTCGCCGGTGGCTGTTCGCTGGTGGGTGAGGGATCTGCTTTCTCTGCTAGTTCCCACCCTAGGACTTCTTAGCCCCTGGAATGCGAGAGAGAGAGGCTCAGGGGAGTTCCTGGAGTGGGGCGTAGAGGTACCTTCCGGAAAGGTCTGGAAGCAAAAGAGACTCCTAGTTGAGGGAGCTGCTGGAAGCCACCGGGTGGGCATTGAGGAAGCGGAGGCTGGTTAGGGGGCGGGACTTCCGGGGCGTGTCCTTTGCGAAGCGGGGGCGGGGCCTGCTTCTAAGGTTGTGCCGAAGGGGCGGGGCTAAAAGGAAACCACTGGGTGTGACCTAGGAGAAAGAAGGGTAGTAATTTAAGCGGGCGTTTTGGGGTCAGGACGGTGTTGCCAGAGGCTTTGGGGTGGCAGGTGATAGCTCAGGCTGAGGTGAAGGTTGCTGGGGAGGTTACCTGCCCTAACCTACTGTCCTCTCTTCCCAGGGAGCTTCTGGTGGGGACCTTCCTAGGGTCCTTTTCCCTTCGTGGGGTACCATGGAGTTCCCAGAACACAGCCAGCAGCTGCTGCAGAGCCTCCGAGAGCAGCGGTCCCAGGGTTTCCTTTGTGACTGCACCGTGATGGTGGGTAGCACCCAGTTCTTGGCCCATCGGGCTGTGCTGGCCTCCTGCAGCCCATTCTTCCAGCTTTTCTACAAAGAGCGGGAACTGGACAAGAGGGATCTGGTGTGCATCCACAATGAGATTGTCACGGCCCCAGCCTTTGGGCTGCTTCTGGACTTCATGTATGCTGGCCAGCTGGTCCTGAGGGGGGATACCCCTGTGGAGGATGTGCTGGCTGCTGCCAGCTACTTGCACATGAATGACATTGTTAAAGTGTGTAAGCGGCGGCTGCAGGCCCGGGCCCTGGCAGAGGCAGACAGTACCAAGAAGGAGGAGGAAACCAGCTCACAGCCCCCTAGTTTGGAGTTTTTGTCCACTTCCCGTGGCCCCCAGCCTTCGTTGGCATCTGCTGAGACGTCAGGCCACTGGGGCAAAGGGGAATGGAAGGGCCCTGCAGCTCCCTCTCCAACTGTCTGTCCTCCAGATGAGCCACCAATGCCTGGGGGGGCTGACACTACACAGCCCGGCATGGAGGTCGATGCACCACATCTACGGGCACCTCCTCCACTAGTGACTGATGTCTCTCTTGCCAGCCCCAGTAGCTCCACAGAGACCATTCCTGCAAACTACTTCTCTCCGGGCCTTCCAGCAGTTTCAGTGGAGCCGCTGGCTCCCCTTGATGTGGGTACTGAGAGTCTGAGGATGGTGGAACCAAGGGGTGCTGGGGGACCACTGCAAGGCTTCTATCCTCCGGCTCCAGCAGCAGCCCCAGTCCCAGCCCCAGTTCCATCGCAGGCTCCAGCACCAGTGGAAGCTGAGCTGGTCCAGGTGAAAGTAGAAGCTATTGTGATTTCTGATGAGGAGCCCGATGTGTCCGAGGAACAGCCTCAGGGGCCTGAGGGACTATTCCCGCCCGGAGGGGCAATGTATGGTGGACAGCCCCCTCAGTCAGAGGCTTTTGAGGAGCCAAGAGCAGCAGGACTGGAGGAGGTGGGACCAAGTGAGCACTTCCTGCCCCCGGATTCTCACCTACCCTACCATTTGCTGCCAGGTCCAGGGCAGTATCCTCGAGGACTGGTGACATCGCCCCTGCCTGCGCCCCCAGCCCTGCATGAGCCACTTTACCTGCCTTCCGAATATGAAGCAACCCCGGGAAGCTTTGGGGTTTTTACTGAGGATGTGCCCACTTGCAAGACATGTGGGAAGACCTTCTCATGTTCTTACACACTAAGGCGACACGCCACAGTGCACACACGCGAGCGCCCCTACGAGTGTCGCTACTGCCTACGCAGCTACACGCAGTCAGGGGACCTGTACCGACATATCCGCAAGGCTCACAATGAGGACCTGGCCAAACGCAGCAAACCGGACCCAGAGGCCGGCCCCCTCCTAGGAGTGCAGCCCCTCCATGGCTCCCCTACAGCAGACAAACAGAACAACAGTGGTGGAGGACCACCCAAAGATTTTGTACTGGGCCCCAAAAACTGACATCTGCAGGAGCATCATAAGCTGATGCTAGGCCTGCTGTTGCCATCGTTAGGGGGCAGCAGAGACTGGAAGCTTCTCCTTTTCCCTGCTGGGGGAGCAGAATGAACCTCCTGCCCAGGCTGAAGATTGCCACCGGTTTTTCTTTACCCAGCCAGACAGCAGGACTTTCTGGGGCAGTGCATCTCAGTCAGCTCCTCTCCAAGGGCACTGGGAATCTTTCTGAGCTGTAATCGCTTGCCACCCTGCCTTCTGGACCATAAAGCTAGCAGTGAAAGTATCTCTTTGAACTGGTGTTGGCTGGTTTATTCCACAAACGTGCATGCCTCCTGATTCTTTCATACCTCTCCTGCAGATCTTTTAGGAAGCTGACATCTGTACCTGGGGTAGGGTTCGGGGTCAGGTTGCTTTTGAGGCAGAGGGCAACATGGATTTGGCTTAGGAGAAGTGGACCGATTAGGGAATTGTACCCAGTGATGGTTTATCGTTACAGCTGAGCTCCTGTGTCCTGGGCTGTACTGAGGACTTCATAAAAATCCTCAATTCTCAACAACTTTATGAGGTATTAGCACCCCCCCTTTTTCCACAGGCAAGGAAATGTGAGACTCAGAAATCAAGTTAACCTATTCAAGGTCACAGGGTGAGTTAAGGGGCAAGCCAGAATTTGAATCATGGCTTCAAACACCAAGCCCACTGTGCTGGGTTAGAACATTGTTGAGGAGAGTTAACTAAGAACCAGAAGTTTTCTCTTCCATCCTCGTGAGGGTTTGGTTTTGCTCCCTTACCCCTTCGCCTCTACTTCCCGTGTAGAAAGTCTTTGGCTGACTGTTCCAACAACAGACACTGTATCGATGACTCGAAATTTTTGCCTGTGTGTCCTAATAGGAATTGAGGTCTCCAAAGAAGAGGAACCCAAACGCAGAAAACATGAAACTCCGGCGTGGTGGGTTGGGTGGGGGAGGGGAAGGGCCTGTGGTATGGAAAAGATGGGTGCTTGGGAAAAACTAAAGCGAGGAACTCCAGATGAGAGAATCTTATAGTTCCTCTAGTCCAACTCCCTCACCTGAAAAGCAGGACAGCCTCGAGAAGTCAGATTACTCAGTTGTAGTCACCCAGATGGTTACTGGCAGTAGAGACAGCAGAGAAATGGGAGTCCTGAGTGTTGAGGTGGGTTCTGGGAGCTCTGGGAATGTAACAGAAGGGGCCTGCCCTTCTGTTCTCTGAACAGTGATGCCATAGGGTAAGAGGGCTCCCGAAAAACCCTTCTCGACTCTGCACATAAGGAACTGAGTGCAAAAAAGGCAGGAAGGACAATTTAGGAAAAGATGAAAATGAGTGAATTTTCTGAATTTTCGTTCTCTCTTTCTGGATTTGTCTGTCCTATTCAGCACTACGAACTCTTGCCAGCAAGCTACCCTTTCTGAGTTAGAGGAAGGAGGACCGAACATCAAGAGGTTTGGCCAAAGGAAGCTCCTTATCTGGAGCATTGAGGGAAGCAAACCATTGATGCTTAATATTTTCACAGCTGAATGAATTATATGCCTTTCACTTTCCTTGTGTTGGAATAACCTTTTAGTTTGTCTTTCAAATGGCCAATTTTATCTGTGCAAATATATATTCCTACTTTAACTCCTTGGCGTCAGTAACAAGGCAAGATTTACGTACACAAGACAAGTTATTCTAGCTGAGTGGTGCACCTTTTCCAAAGTCTTTCCTAGAGTAAATATCAAAGCAAAATGCCTAAAAACAATCAGTTGCCTTTAAAAGGGTAAATTTTGGGCACCTGGGTGGCTCAGCGGAGCATGTAACTCTTGATCTTGGGGTTTTGAGCTCGAGCCCTATGTTGGGTGTAAAGATTACTTAAAAATGAAAAAAATTCGGGGCACCTGGGTGGCTCAGTCATTAAGCGTCTGCCTTCGGCTCAGGTCATGATCCCAGGGTCCTGGGATCGAGCCCCCGTCGGGGGTCCCTGCTCCGCGGGAAGCCTGCTTCTCCCTCTGCCCCTCTCCTCGTGTTCTTGTGCACACGCTCTTTCTCTCTCAAATAAAATTTTTAAATAAAAGGGTAAATTTTATGGTATGTGAATTATATAAAAATTATATACATGGTAGGGAGAGAGACAAGGAGAAAAAATAAAATCAGTTGCCTCAGAACATCAATTCCTAAAAGCAAGACATAACATCGGTGTCTACAGGCATACAGAATGTATACAATTTCTCTAGACAGTCCGGAAAACACAGTAACCACTGTTAAAGTTTTGACCATGCATAATACCTAACTAAAGAGGATCTGTTGCTTGGTGAGATTCTCCTCCAGAGCGAGCATTTGCTTTCAGCTCCCAGCATGAGATGCAGTTTTCCTTGGAGGTGACAATTAGAAATCTGCAAGATGTTTAAAGCAGCACAGCAGCCAACACAAAAGGCCACGGTTGTCTGTCTTCCTGTACCTGCTGGACGCCAGAAACAGTCTCTACCAGTCTGTAGAGGTGCGATCAGTAGAGAATTTTCTCGTTTCCTCTACTCTCGATGGTCTCATCCATGGATTCAAGGAACCACAGGTGAGCTCATCTAACCTCTAGTCTAACACTGGATCCTCCTTTTGCCAGTGTGAAGCCCCTGGTTGAAAAAGAATTTGGGGCACCTGGCTGGCTCAGTTGGTGGAGCTTGCAACTCTTGACCTCAGGGTCATGAGTTCAAGCCCCATATTGGGTATAGAGATTACTTAAATAAATAATCATTATAAAAAAATAACTCATTATCCCCAAAGGAAACCTACTCTATCGTCGGACAGTCTTAATTGTTGGATAATGCTGCCTTTTACTGAGCCAAAATCAGCCTCCTTTTATGAGGGTCAGGGTCAGGCTCCAGCCTACTAAGAGTTTCACCCTGAAAAGTTACTTGTTTTTGAGCTATAAGCTGATTTAGTTTTCAGACAACCACCTTTTGCTCTCCAGCTTTAGAGATAAAATTCTTTTGAGATTTTTAATTTTAAGTAATCTCTATACACAGCGTGGGGTTCGAACTTACAACCCCAAGATCAAGAGCTACACGCTGTACCAACTGAGCCAGCCAGGTGCCCCTAGAGATATAATTCTAGTTTAGGATTCCAATTCTTTTTTCTTTTTTCTGGATTTCAATTCTTCTCTTAACTGGCAATTCTGTAAGTGTATGACTTCATTTGCTGCCTATTTTGCCTCTTCAATCACCAGACATTTGGCCAAGCTTGACTTCGCCAAAGTCACCATTTCAGTCCTTTGCATTCATTTCCTTTTTATTTATTTTTGTTTTGCTTTAGAGAAGAGTGTATGCACGTGTGCGCAAGGCTGGGGAGGGGATGTGGGCGGGGGGGAGGGGCAGAGGGAGAGGGAGAATCTCAAGCAGGTTCCACATCCAGTGCGAAGTCCAATGTGGGGCTCCATCTCAGGACCCCGAGATCATGACCTGAGCCGAAATCAAGAGTTGGATGCTAAACCAACCAAACCACCCAGGCATCCCAACTATTTTTAAAAGTAATCTCTGTGCCCAACATGGAGCTCAAACTCACAACAGAGATCAAGAGTTGTGTGCTCGAATGACTGAGCCACCCAGGTGCCCCTGAATTTCAATTTTAATGTCACCAAAGCCAATGTTTCCAAAGATGATTTACCTGGACATATACTATTTTTATTGTAAAATATATTTACTTTAATGGATTTTTGTTTTGTTTTGGCAAATAATATGAAGTGTTCCAAAGTCCCCTCCCCAATTATCAGTAAGCAATTTCGGTATGCACCTCTAAAAGAACTTTTTTTTTTTTTAAGATTTTTTATTTATTTATTTGACAAAAAGAGAGAGAGAGCACAAACAGGGGGTGCAGCAGGCAGGCAGAGGCAGAGGAAAAAGCAGACTTTCCTCTGAGCAGAGAGTCCTGTGTGGAACTCGATCCCAGGACCCTGTGATCATGACCTGAGCCTAAGGCAGATGCTTAACCGACTGAGCCACCCAGGTGCCCCTAGATTTTATTTATTTATTTGACAGAGAGAGACACAGCGAGAGAGAGAGCACAAGCAAGGGGAGTGGGAGAGGGAGAAGCAGGCTTCCCGCAGAGCCCCAATTCGGGGCTCAATCCCAGGACCCTGGGGTCATGACCTTAGCCAAAGGCAGACGCTTAACGACTGAGCCACCCAGGTGCCCCTGAATATTTTATTTTTAAGTAATCTCTGCACCCAGCGTGGGGCTTGAACCCACAACCCTGGGATCTAGAGTCATACTCTCCCCTGACCAGCCAGCCAGCCACCCTTTCCTCATAAACGTTTGGTTGTTTTGGGGTGGTTTTTTTTTTTAAGACTTTATTTATTTATTTGACAGAGAGCGAGAGAGAGCGCAAGCAGAGAGAGCAGCAGGCAGAGGGAGAGGGAGAAGCAGGCTCCCCAGTGAGCAAGGAGCCCCACACGGGGCTCGATCACGGGACCCCGGGATCATGAACCGAGCCGAAGGCAGATGCTTAACCGACTGAGCCACCCAGGCGCCCTAGATTTTTTGCCTTTTTTTTAAAGATTTTATTTATTTATTTGAGAGAATGAGAGAGAGAGAGAGCACATGAGAGGGGGGAGTCAGAGGGAGAAGCAGACTCCCCGCTGAGCAGGGAGCCCAATGCGGGACTCGATCCTGGCACTCCAGGATCATGACTTGAGCCGAAGGCAGTCACTTAACCGACTGAGCCACCCAGGTGCCCGTTTTTTGCTTTTTTGAAAGATTTATTTATTTGAGAGAGAGCACGTGTGTACAAGCAGGGGGAGGGGCATAGGGAGAGGGAGAAGCAGGCGTCCCCCCCTGAGCAGGGAGCCGGACATGGGACTCAATCCCAGGACCCTGAGATCATGACCTGAGCTGAAGTCAGAGGCTTAACCAACCCAGGTGCCCTTCAGTTGTTTTGTTTTCAAATCAGAATCCAAAGCAGAGTCACATTTATTTGGTGGTTGTGTCTTAAGCCTCTTTTAATCTGTAAGTTCCTCTCTCCTTTCC